TCCTGAGCTCAAACAATCCGCCCGCCTTGGCCTCCCAGAGTGCTAGGATTACAGGCGTGAGCCACCGTGCCCAGCCTTTTGTGCTATTTTTTTAACACATCACAGGGAACAGGGGCACATGGACCTCATCCCCCTTGTCTCAGCACCATCTCTCGCTAGTGGGCTTCAGCTGCAAAGACTGGGGAAAGGGTGGGGGACACATGGGCAGGAAGGAAGCCCCAAACTTGTATGATTCATCCAATTACAGCCATGTAATCAGAAAAGAAAAATGACAAAAGAGTGGCCATTTAACCTGCAGAATAGGTTGACAAATAGTAAGAGACTAAAAACAGTCTGATACATGCATACTTTTTAAAACAAGTCAACCACAGTTCAAGTGGCATTCACAACTACAGGAAGTAAAGCGTGGGCAGAATTCTCACAATAGTTTCATCCAAGTCACTTCCCCATTATCTCTGTTAGCTGCCTACTCTTGCCAGGAAAGCTTTTCTTTACAGAAGAATGTCCGCTAATAAATGCTGAAGGAATGATAGAATATCATCATTTTGCAACCGGTAATGAAAGAACTGATTCTGGTACAGGTCATCAGAGGATGCTAAAACCATGGGGGCAGGCTGTTCCTGGAACAGAGTATTCACATGTGACCTGAGTGTCATCCCACAGACCGCCTGCTAACTGAAAGGGGAATGAGTACCTTCACAATGGAGATATCTGGTGGCTACCACCTTACTCGAGTGACCAGATTTAGCTTCTCTAATAGCGAGACAATCTGACGTTTATGTGCCTTCTGAAGCACACGGGACCACCTAAGAAGTATTCTTGTGAATAAGACTTAATCAGAATGTAATCAAACCTTTAGACCTAATTTCCACTTTACAGAATGTACAGAGAATAGAAAGCAAATTTTAAAAAATGACAAGTAAATAATATGACTAATCTTGAGCAGTGGATAACTGGTCTGGTCTGTTCAAAAGAGTATGTCAGAGAATGCTGGGGAGAGGGGGAAGAGGTGATAGGGAGAGGACGCGGGAAGATACAACAACCAAATGCAATCAGCGGCTTCTGATTACATTAAAACAGCCATTAAAGTCACCTTGAGGGCAATCAGGGAAATCTGTATATGGACTTGATATCAGATAATATTAAGATCCCCCACTATTTTTAGTTGTTGAAATATTTGAAAGCAGCAATGAGAAGAATGCAGTTAATGACAGAATCACCATCTTTTAAGGTCTGTGCAATAATATGGTGTGACTTTCATTTTGGCAAATGACAGTAACTACCACTACACAGAACGATTCACAGTTCGCACGGTGCCAACCTCATCTATGCTATGTGTTATCTGGTGACGTGCTGTCTCCCTTGAGTGTATCAATTCTCAACAAACCTTTCAGCAACTGACCTGACATTTCTGCAACTTCTTGCTGTGCCACAAATAAAACTTATTTATAACCACTCAGTGTAATGGAAGCCATATATCTCTTGATCAAGTTGTACCTCTTCCTCAAGTATCTATATGTTTTTATCAAATTCTTCCCCAAGTACAATTCTATCCAAAGCCCTAGTCATAAACCCAGTGGAATTTTCAGGCTTTTTCTCACTGAGAATCTGTCACATTTGATATCATAGATTACTTCTCAAAATTCTGACCTCCATTGGTAACACACTCTCAACGCTCTTCTTTGCCCATCTTGGCTAAGTCCTATTCGTCCATGAAAACCAAGGTGAGATGGCATCCAGAAGCCTTCCCTTGCCAACACATGTCTGCCACCACCATTGTATGGGATACCGAACAACCTGGCTGGTCTATCTACCTCAACATTCAAAACACTGTGCTGTAAGTAGGTAGTTGTCCGTTTTCCTACTAGACACAAGCTTTTTGAGGGCTGAGGCTCTGTATTTTGTCTCTGTTCACTTGGCATTTAGAAATACCTGGAACACAGAAGATATTCTCTGATTTGACTAATGAATTTTACAAAGATAAAGCGGAGGGTGCTGGGAGCAGTGGCTCACACCTGTAATCCCAGCACTTTGGGAGGTAAGGAGGGAGGACAGCTTGAGGCCAGGAGTTTGAGACCAGCCTGAGCAACATAGCAAGACCCCATCTCCACAAAAAATTTAAAAGATTAGCCAGGCATGGCAGCAGGTGCCTATGGTCCAGCTACCCCGGAGGCTGAGGCAGGAAGACTGCTTCAGCCCGGGAGTTGGAGGCTGCAGTGAGCTGTGATCATGCCATCGCACTCGAGCCTGAGTGACAGAGCGAAACCCTGTCTCTTAAGGGAAAAAAAAAAAGAAAGAAAGAAAGAGAAGAAAATATAAAGAAAAGAAAACAGGCTCAAGTAATTGCTTAAGGTTACGAAGCTATTAAGTGGTGAGCTAATACTTAACCCCAGGTCTTCTAATTCTAAACTCCTCCAAATATTTTATAGCCCATTTGCAACCATCTTGGTTTACAATTCAAAAATTAAACTATTTCTTAGGTTTTCAATAACTTGGGAATGTAGAAATGGACTAGGAAAGAGTAATTTTCAATATATGTTTAAGTACGAGTGATACTGAAGAAACAGAACTCTGAGTGATCAGTCTAGGAACCGAGAAAATGTTGTAAAGAACATTTCTCAAAAGCAGCATAATTATAAAACACAAAGCACCATACTTAAACTTCATTATTAGCTACTTCAGTGATAACCAGAAAGGCAGATGGAGGAGAAAAGGTTAAAAACTATAATTAGACTATAGAGTATCTCTTTCTAAATTAGCATAATCATATTAGGTCAGTGTTATTAAACTAGATATAATTAAATGCATTTTACCTGTACAGAGATAATGTAACCATGTAAGTTTCCTTCCGCTGAAATGCTGGCTGTAAAATAATTCAAACTGTAAAAAAAATAAAACATCAAATTATTTTCAGCTACTACAACTTGCCTAGTTATCATCATACTACAAAAGTAAAAAATGTGCATGTTAGAAAAGACATTTAAGACCATCTGGTAAATGTTCCTCGTTTACAGAGGAGAAAACACATCTGTGGGGTCCCTGACCAAGATCATACAAATACCACCCCAGCTCTGTTAACAGGCAACCCGGTCCAGAGTTCTCTCTACTAAACCAAACTCTGCAAACTGGACTTTTTGTATAAATTCAGAAATGACCTCATTAGTAATTCATTATCATTTGCGAATGATATGAATTTGGACTTTGCAAATTCTACTTACTGATCAAACAAGCCATTATATACATTTCAATATGAAAATATAATATAAATCATACCTTCATTTCTAATCTGATTGCCAACATATACCCTTGCTCAAGTGACGGACTGACCAACACTTGCGTGGTTACCTATGAAGTGGCACGTACGATTAACTCCCACATCCGGCCAAACTCTAACACAAAGATTCAGGGTATGTCTCTTTGGATATTCTTTTGCAGATAATATTACGAATAACTAAATTTAACACTCTATTAATGTAGCTGTGAAATTTTAAAAACTCCTTCTCTGGACTGAATGTGTAATTAGAGGACCATCAATCCAAAAATACAGAGTTCCTATTGTTTAAAGAGCTAGTACATAATACAGTGTGGGAAAATGATACTGAAAGGTGAAAAAGATAAAAACTCAACTTCTTTACAAAACTAAAAATAAACCACATGATGTCATAGTTCAAAAGGGTGGACATACTTTTAGCATGATGTGCTATTTGCATCATACCTACAATTTTTATTTTTTATTTTTTTTTTTGAGACAGAGTCTGGCTCTGTTGCCCTGGCTAGAGTGTCGTGGCGTCAGGCTAGCTCACAACCTCAAACTCCTGGGCTCAAGCCATCCTCCTGCCTCAGCCTCCCAAGTAGCTTGGACTACAGGCATGCGCCACTATGCCCGGCTAATCTTTTCTATATATTT